GTTGAATTACTGAAATAAATGAACTTTTCCAAGACATTCTAATTTATTGAGACGCACCTGTATTATTTTCAGGTATACATTCAGTTTTAATTTTTGTAAATGTATGTGCTTTTGTCGTTATGTATTTTTAGCTTTAATTTGTATTTAGTCATTTATTTTTATTTTTAGTCATCTTAGTACTTAAAGGAAAACTAAAACTAACATTTCAGTTAGTTTCCAGTTTAAAGGGGTCATATGATGCGATTTCAATTTTTCCTTTCTCTTTGGAGTGTCTGTCTTAATTTTTCATCAAAATGTAGTGATTTTCTCTGCCTCTGGAATTACTTTCTGAAAATGCATGGGTGTTACCAAAGTGAGATTTCTTGTGAATGCTGTTATAATGGTTGTTACACCTCAGATTTAAAGGGGTCATATGATGCTTTTTTAAAGATCATTATTGAAAGCAATAATTGTTTAAATATTGTAGTATTGCATTTACATGATGCGGTTCCATTTTTAACTGGCCCAAATGGAATCTGTTTTGTCTCCACGATTTCTGTGCTTATTTTGAGGAAGCTGCAGAATGTAATAAATCTATTAAAGCATCATCAAATTAAGCAAATATTTAACAATGTTTGTGAACAACTGTCGTTCCAATTCTGTGGACACCGATTCTGTATGGGCCTAGTTTTTACACCTATCACTGATTGACAGGAAGTGTCTTTGTATGTAACAATAGTGTATGTGGTATATAAGATATATTGATCTCTTTCTGTTCTCTGTCCTAGTCGGGTTCATCTTGTGTCACGCGGCTCTGAGCAGTGACGCTGCAGCTCTCAGTCTGTGGAAGTTAGCTCTTCAGAGCAGTTCCTGTCTCTGTCTGTTCAGGGACGAGGTGTTCCACATTCACAAATCTGCCGAGGATCTCTTTGTAAACATTCGCGGGTCAGCCGTTTCTACTAGCAAACACGTTCTCACGTTTTCTATAATTAGTTTATATATTGTGCGTAACATAAATGTAATGCTTTAATTATCAAAATGTGGTTCATGCTTTTCATATAAAGCATATAATGATGTTGATGTGTTTGTTTTCTCTGTCTTTTACAGTTACAACAAACGTGTCAATGACATCCGTGAATGCAAAGAATCTGCTCTGTCACATGCGTAAGTAGTACTTCGGATAAAAAAAATAAAGGTGCAAGTGGTAACTTGGTATTTCTGAAGATACCAAACCAAAATGGCTGTATCTATAGTTTTTTAATAATTTTTTTCATCCAGGGGTTCCATGCACAGAGAACGCCGCAAGTTCTTGAGATCTGCCCTGAAAGAGCTCGCTACAGTGCTGGCGGACCAGCCAGGCTTACTGGGTCCCAAGGCTCTGTTTGTGTTCATGGCTCTCTCCTTCGCCCGTGATGAGATCATTTGGCTGCTCAGACACGCCGACAACATCCAAAAGAAAAGCACAGATGACTTTATTGACAAGTAAATGCAGTTCATACATCTCAACACTCAATCTTGATTTTTTTTTTTATATATATAATCTATTCTTTAATAAGTCTTTATGCCACACTTTGGCCTTTTTCCTAAGTTTTTCCTAATTTTCTAAACCAAAATAACATTTTGGTTATTTGCCAAGTTTTTAATCTAATTCTAATGTTTAATTTTATTTCAGGTTTATTTCAATTAACAAAAACAATTTTTAATATTTTAGCTTAATTGTTTATAGTATATATTCATGTTTTGAATGCGCTTTTATTTTTATATTTTCCATTTTCATGTTAGCATTTTAGTATTTTTATTAGTGATTTTTTTTTTCTATTTTTTTATTTTTATTTCTGTTTTAATAATTTTAGTATTTCAGTTTAAACTTGTTTTAGTTAGGTGACAAGGCAACATTTATTTTCATTTACGGTTTTAAGTTTTTTTTTTTATATATAATTTTAGTTTTAACAACGACACTTCATTTGATTAAATCATTCAGCAAATTATTTATTTATTTTTTATATCATTTGTAATGTTACACCCTGACACCATCTTTGGTCATAACAGTATCATGGGATGAGTAATGAATTAATTTCATTAACATCTTTTTTTATTTTTCAAGTCTTGTGTTTCATCTTGGATCCAGTTGATTTGGTTTACGGCTTAGGACCAATCCTAGTTGTTGTTTTTTTGCATGCTTTTTCAAGTCTTTATGGAGAAAATGAATAGGAAAAACTGCATATAAACCAAGGCTGTTTTTTTTCCTTCATTCTTGCTTGTTTTCTCAGGCACATCGCAGAGCTGATCTTTTACATGGAGGAGTTGAGGGCACATGTGCGGAAGTACGGCCCGGTGATGCAGAGGTACTATGTGCAGTACCTGTCCGGCTTTGATGCCGTGGTGCTCAATGAGCTAGTGCAGGTGAGACTGTCTGCACTATGGATCCATTTCCTTCTTACTGCACTAAAAGAAAGGACACAGATCAGTTACACGTCCTTATGAGAGCAGTTGTTATTTGTAGTGCTCTCATGAGATGAGGATCAGTCATGTGCGGTTGGGTGGCTCAGACATGAACATTAGTCACATTATGAATCATTCACCGGATCCCACGTAGGGCGTCTAGAAGAACATGAGGTGAAATACACGAACTTCACCACTAGATGGAGAGATAGTACTGTGATTTATCTTTGAGACCCCAATCAGGAGCTAGACTTGCTCGTCATGGTGTTTTAATTTTAAAATACACACGCGAATGGTAAAATCCCCATGTCTTCCTCCTTTGTAGAACCTGTCTGTCTGCCCAGAGGATGAGTCCATTATTATGTCGTCCTTCGTGAACACTATGACCTCTCTCAGTGTTAAACAAGGTAGTGAACCTCTCTTATTTAAAACATTCATATAATGTGCTTAAAAACATGAAATCATAATTGATGTCCCTTGTCTAGATATTTTTTGACTTGTTTTATAATATGTAGTATTTTTGTATCATATAATTTAATGGTAACGGCATGGATTACAAAATCATTATTTTTGCATAAATTAAAAAAGTGGGTTATATATTAAATAATTAAGGTCATTGGGCAAATTTTGCATAATCTAGTACCTGGTGTACTTTTTTTGTGATATAACATCTCTAATGTCTCTTTTTGATTGTACGGTATCACAAAATAACTAACTTTGTTTGGGTGTGTGTATTGCAGTTGAAGATGGGGAAGTGTTTGATTTCAGAGGGTTGAGGCTGGACTGGTTTAGACTGCAGGTAAGATGATCTCAGTCATTTGAGCTGGGTCAATGCATGGTGTTTGCTTCCTCTGATCCTAATCAGACATAATTAACAGCTCTTATCTCTGCTTCCCTCTTACTAATTAGCAGATGCCGGTTAACATAAAGCAACTAATGCTCTCACAGTTTGAGATGCAACACAACACAAAGTTTAATGCTGGCAAATGTTTGTTGCAAAAGTTTGCTTATCCTTTGTTTTCCGAATAAAAGCAACATTTTTACATGCTGAATGAAAAATGGCTTAATTTGGAATTACTTAAAAATGAACCACAATGCATGCTGTTCTTTTGAAGCTCTGATTATTCAAGAAGAGCCTGCGCCTTTCATCCAGGCTCAAATAAATCAGACTTCGTCTCTGTGGAATACGCACGCATGTGGGTGGGTGGGAATGGAAGTGGAGATGGAGAGACTAGCTTGTTCATGCGATTTTTGAGGGGCTGTGAGTGTGTGTGGACCTCAAATGGATCTGGAGTGCAGGCTTTGGGATGGTCCAGCTTGCTCTCAAATGCGTTTCCTGTGTGTTGGTTTGCCCAGTCCCACAGCAGAGAAGCCGTTTGAACTCTTCCCTAAAGGAATGTTCTCGGATCAAAAGCGAAGCTTTATCAACTGAATTTGAGGCATGATCTCAATTCTTTTTTTTTTTTTGTAACATACTTGCAGTTTTATTTAAAACCCTTACATGATCATGGAAAACCTGGAAATATTTCAGAATTATTACTGGGCACTGATTACCAGAATTTCAAAATTTTGCTTTGCAGGTCTTAAAAATAATGGATATTAATAATATCTTGGCATTTTATTATAAGTAAATGTATGTTTTTCTTATTGTATTCAGCTCTAAAATATCTAATCAGTTTTAAATTGATCGGTGTTTGCATTCTTTATAAAATAGTAATAGGAATGACTAAGGTATTCATTTGTAGGAACCTTTTACATTTTAAATATTCAGTTAAAACCATTTATTTATTCTCATGTGGATGAATTTATGCATTATTTATTTAATTCTATTTTTACTTGTGGTTATGTTTAGATTTATATTGCTGCAATTTAGTACTTTTTAACTGTACTTCAATAAGTATATATTCATATATCCATCTGTCTTCCATATGTTCCACAAAACAAGTGGTCCATCCCAAATTTTAAAGGAATAAATACATTTAATCAGCAAGAATGCATTAAATTGATCCACAGTGTTAGTAAGAACATTTATAATGTTAAACCTATTTTTTATTTAAGCTGTAATATTGTCTACATTTTTTTGGCTGAATTTGTTGTGCATTGCTGATGCAATTCCTTTTGGTGGAAGTTGCTTTATCTAACCACTTCCTCACTGGTAACCTTGCCAGTGTCAAATTAAAGTTGCCTGATTTACTGACATTATGTGGTCATGATATTAAAAAAATCTATGTAACTTTACACAGACGTGTTCAGCAAATAATTCTGTCACACTTTACTTGCCTTACGCCATCTTATATGACTGAACCAGTGTGTTTATTCCACTTCCTTTACAGTTACCACAATTTTTGCTTTTTTTGGACAGATTATTTCCTGTGGTAATGCCACAGATCCCACAAAAAGAACTTAACTTGTGTTTAACCCAGGAGATAGCTTCAAAAGCAGGCCTGAACCTCTTCACACAGGAGGGTTTCACTTCACCTTTTCAGCAGGAAAAACTGCTATCAGCAGAATGTGAACATTTCTCACAGCTGAACAACAGTTTTCTGTGTTTGAGCCTTTTCCCACTTTCCTTCGCTCTTTTCGCAGCCAGAGTCCTCTCTTTCACATGGCCACAAAAACAAATCGGCCCTAATAACAGCAGTGTTTATTCACTGCAAGGCCTTGAGCTCAGACTGCTCTCAGTTTACCAGAACAAAGCAAACTCAAGGATTTAAACAGTCAGCTCTAAAGCAACTGAGTGTGTGTGAGGCTGTTGACAGATGTGGGTGGGTGGATATATATGTTCACATATGTAGGTGAATCACACTAAAACATGTCCAAGTCTCAAATAAATATATGATAAAATTATACAAATAATATATTTTAAAATAAAATTAATCATTGTAACTTCTTTATTAATTTTTATTCTTTTTCTGTTGATTTGTTCTTTTGATTTAATTTTATTTTATTCCCGTTGTTATTGGTGGTTCTTTTTAAATTCTTATTGCTGTAATTTAGTATTTTTAAAAACCGTATTACTGAAATACATTTTTTACAGAATGATATTTCTTCTATTGTTCGAAAAAACAAATGAATACTTAAGAAATCAATACTTTTACTCAGCAAGTAAATTGATCCATAGTGTCAGTAAAGACGTATGTAATGTTACAAAAAAATATGTATTTATTGCTATTCTATTCTGTTGTATATGGAAATAGAAAACAATTAAAATGTAAAAATATTTCAATTATATTATTGTCTTTACTGTATTTTTAAACAAATAACTGCAGAGCATAAGAGACTTCGAAAACATTTTTAAAAATCTTACCGACCCCAAACTTTTGAACAGTAGTGTAAAAATAGAAGTAGTTAGAAAAAGGGGCAAATAGAGCGTAGCTGGTCGTTTAAACTTATGACTTATGACTGCTTTAGTGAAGGAAACCAATTTCACTTTAAATAAAATGCCATGGATATGTATAAATGTCTAGAATCAGTCACTACTCCTCCAGGTTTGATAGCAGCAAGTTAGTTTGAAGAGCTGGCATGACTCTGCTGTCTAAGCAGGGATGCCCTCTTCTCTCCTTAAAGTGCCCCTATTATGGATTTGTGAAAATTACCTTTCATGCAGTGTGTAACACGGCTCTAAGTGAATGAAAACATCCTGCAAAGTTTCAAATCTGAAAGTGCACCGTGTATAAAGTTATTGTCTCTCAAAAGAAAGCGTCGACTCTGAATCATTGAAACGAGTTCTTTTTAAAACTAATCCCAAGCCGTTTCATGTTGACCTCAACATGAAACATTAACATATTGCCCGCCCACTTATTGGTCTGTTCGCATTGGTTGAATGAAAATGCTAATTCTTTGCCACTAGGTGCTGCTTTTGGAGCGGTAAAAATAGAGGTTTCCCCGGTAATGCTGTACACAAAGCAGCACTGCACTCATAAACACTGCTTTATCAGGCATTACAGGCATGATGAGATTAAATGAAAATGAGCCAATCAGACCGATCACTGCAGATTAGCGTCACGCAAAGGAGGGGTTTGGAAAAATTAATCGTTGAGCGAATCGTTTGGGAGTCGTTGAGCAAGTAAGATAAAAAAATAAATGCATATTATAAGACAATGAAAGTGTTTTTTGACCTTGCATGCATGTCAACCTGTTGTTGGGGACTGCCAAAACCAAAATATGAACCTTTCATTACCCATAATAGGGGCACTTTAAATCATGCTTTCCTCTTGTGTAATGGCCCGGTTGTTGAGATACCACTTGCCAGTATATAACAACTAACGGTTCACTCAGTTCATGTCTGCTCGTTTGCATTTGACCTCTGCGTTTCCAAAGGTGCGGTCCTATTCATCGCTATGGCCAATTAAACTACCAGCAGCCGTCTGCAAATGTACATCTAAAAATAAGCCCTGTTTTTCAATACTTTTTCTACTCCACAGTGGACTTCAGTGCTGTACGATATGTTTATTGTCGTTCCCCAGACTCCATAACCACAAGCTTTGTGAGTTTAGCACCTGCTGAATGTCATGTGGCATCATCCTGGCATGCCGCGTTCTTTGAATTGACCGATCTTTGGATGATGAAAGCCAGCGCAGGGCGTGTGCAGTCCTTGTTTTGCTTGAGTTTTCTCACACTTCTTATGTTCAAGTTGTCCAAAGGCCGAACGCACTGGCTGGCACAGCTGTTTCGCTGCAAGAAAATAGTTTTTTTTTTTTACTTAAACACCAAAGAGAATCTGTTTTGCATACTGTCTTCATTTGATCTTGAATGCTAGAGAGGAAATTGTGTTGGTTGGACATTGTCTGGTTCAACAGTATCAAGTTTACAAAAATATTTCCCAGAAAGCCTTCTCAGAAGTTAATGATATGGTAAAACATCAAACCACACTTTTCTTCAGACTCTGCCCTGGTCCAGTTTCCAATCTGATTCGATGCTCTTCATTTGCTCGAGGATTTGCTCATGGAAATCAAGCCCACTAAGCTCAGCCTTTGAGAACAGATTGTGAAAAGTTGTCAGAATAATTAATGAACTTTAAAGATTAATGCTAACGATGATGTCTGTCTTTGTGTTTAGGCTTACACCAGCGTGTCCAAGGCCTCGCTAGGACTGGCAGATCACAGGGAGCTGGGAAAAATGATGAACACCATCATCTTCCACACCAAGATGGTGGACTCTCTGGTGGAGATGCTTGTGGAGACTTCTGACGTTTCCATGTTCTGGTATGACCGTTAGTAATGTTATAGAAAAAATAACATTACATTAATGTGGCAAAGTACACACTTACTAGGCAAAAAGTGGCTGTAGAAGTCAGAAAATGCTCTGCAGGTTCATTGAATGATATATCAATTAAAACTTGAAAATTAGAATTTTTGACCAATTTAGTTATTTTTATTTATTTAGGCTAGTTGTCTATTTTTGCATGCAGCCTGCAAAAAAAAAAATTATTTTGCGGTACCCAGACTTTTTTAACTAACTGCATTTTAATGTCCCCTAGTGAATATGGTCAGTGTTACTTTTGAAAAGAGGAGTTTGGAAAAGATCTTTTCTCTTCTCCGTCGGTTCTCGCCACGGCTTAGCCGCGACCCATGCGAGGGTTCAGGATGGAGTCGTACTGTGAATCCGGAAGGCTCCACGTGTTTACTAGAGCTGGAATGTCCCAACACACAGCATTGAACGCTGTGGTCCATGTATCGGGATGTGTACAGAAAACCAAATGCTGAAAAGCATGATTTATTAAATCTGTAATTGAACCATACGCCGGTGCAGCTACCCAGGCTCCCCGGGGGCATATGGAAGCCCCTCCGCACACATGAGGAGCACAACAGATTCCTGTTTCCCCCCCCTGCCGGTATACGGCCGGCACATTCACCAAGTGTTTGTTCCTGCCAAACATCGTACCCTCCAATATCCAATTTAATTTGGTAAATAATCCCACATTTTCTCTCCTAATTGGTGGACAAAACAAACAGCACAATGAGAGTTCTCATGTCATTGCGGGGCCTGAACATTGAGCTGTCTGAGAGCACTTAGAGGAATAAAAGAGATTTATTGAGCCATAGAAGGCTTGGGTTTCCCTTATTTAAACATGAAACTCCCTCTCTCAGCATGTCTCTGAAATGGTCTTCCTCCTATGTCCACTCCACACAGCTTTGGACAGCTGCAAGCTTTATTTATGTTGGAAAAGCACTAAAAGTTTCCAAGAATATTTCCATCCTCGCACAGAAAACTTTTTACAGTGGTTTAGAGAAACAACAAAAGATCACGGCGCTTCAGCAGAGGTTAGCCTCAGCATCACGTCGGATAGATGTGTTATTTCCAACCTGCACCGTCTCCGACTCTTCCCCTCAGATGCCCACGAAGAGCGTGGCAGAATATTTGGGTTTATGAACGGATGATGAGAGCACTCGTCAAATCTGAGTTGAGCCACCAAAGCTTTAAATGACACTTTTTGGTTGGCGTGAAGAAGGACCGGCCTTCTCCGTGATGTTTGGGATTCGTCAAAACGATGCAGGAGCGGAGGCTTCGGCTCCACATAGGGGCAAAGGTTGTTTTTCATTAGTAATTTAGAGAGTTTGCACTGTTTGCTCTGGGGAGGGAGTTGGGGCGACGAGACCAGCTGGGCCATAACAAAGAGCCTCACTTACACATGGACGGGTCACAAACAGCACCTCACTGTGAGCCAAATTCACCTGAGCAGCTTATGTTGGAGTAGTTTCAGCCTCTGACAGCATGCCCATGGATCACTCATGGACCATTTTCAGATGGCATGCTGACAAATAAGGTGTTTCTCCACCCTGGTCCAAATAATTCAAGTCATTTCATTTATTCAAATGAATGAAGTTTGGGGTCATTTTTTGTAATGTTTTTGAAAGAAGTCTTATGCACAGCAAGGCTGCATTGATTTGATACAGTAAAACAGGAATATAGTGAAATAGCATTACAATTTTAAATAGCTGTTTTGCAATTTAATATAGTTTAAAATGCAATTCCTGTGATGGCCAAGCTGAATAGAAAGTTCAAAAGAACAAAGTCTAAAAGTGTAGAAGTAATTGCTGGAACTAAACATTAATTTCTTACCCTAAAAATCTTTATATCTACGTATGTCTATGTGTGTGAAGTTAAAGGCCATTTCAGATTGACCTGCCCCTAAACACCACTCAAAATCTGTTTATGCATCCATCAGATGACCCCATCCTGTTTAATTGGGTGGTTGTTTGCCAGTTTAAGGCCTTGTTTACAGATGGTTGTAACAGGTGGCCTGTTGAGCCGTGTTGTTATTTACAGCTGATACTAAAGGTAAAGGATATATTTCCTGTGCCTGTAGCAGAACCAAATAGAACTGCAATTCTGTTTGTGGTGCAAAAATGACACACTTGATGCATTGACAGCTTCACACTGCCCATACTAAATGTATACTGAATCGTACCTTATACTGTAAATCAAAAGTCTAGCTTAGCATTGGTGTTGTACTAAGGGAAATCTCCACTAATGTCTCTTTGTCTGTCCCTCCCTGCAGAGGCACCACATCGGAGACCGCAGCTTGTCCCTTTGCAACATGTTCCTGGATGAGATGGCCAAGCAAGCCCGCAACCTCATCACAGACATATGCACAGAGCAGTGCACCCTGAGCGACCAGGTCAGTGACGCACACACACGCTTTCAGCGCTGCCAAAACACAGAGGGACTTTTGGGAGTTCTGGAATTTTCCATGTCATATCTGGGATTTTAACAAACTTAACTGGGTTTACAAAGAGTTCTGCAGATTCACCAGGAATGTTCCATTCCGTTGCAATAAGATCATCACAATGAAATTAAACCGTGATTGATTTCCTGGACACAGTTGACAGCACTGATTCGATGACATAAGGTCAGCTTTAATGAATAAACTTACTCTCATCCCGCTCTGGTGAGTGTAATCGTCATGTTGTAAGCAAACAGGACAGCAGCTCATAAGTCACTTCCCGCTTTGCTCTTGTCTGGACTGTGGAAGTCACATTTACTTGTTAATTTTAAGACAAGTGATTCAGTCATTCAAGAGCCACTGTGACCAATTCATTGATTCAAACTGATTCAGTCTCATGAGTTTGAGACTGTGATGAGTCTTTTTGATTGATTCATTAGGAAGGATCAACTCTTAAAAGTCATTTGTTCATGAGGCAGACCACACTGGCAATGCTGAATGTTTTTTTTTTTTTCGTGCAGATAATACAATAGAAATACAGCTATTTATGGGCTTTATTATTTCCCGACACCCAATCTTTCATTACATCTTGTTCAGGCTGTAGGCTCACAAATCAAGCTCACAATTTATTTTGCCATGGTTCTTTATTTTAGTATGTAAATCATTCAGTTCCGGTATTTTAAGAGTTTTCTATTCCCAACTCTAAACGCATATTTAAAATAACATGCACTGATGAATTGTGCACAATATTACCAGGATCTTGTATTAAGAAAGTAAATAGGGTCAATTTTGATTTCATGTTGACTTTAAAAAGGGGCTTTTTCCTGTTGCTCTTCTGCACAGCTACTGCCAAAACACTGTGCCAAAACCATCAGCCAGGCCGTGAACAAGAAGTCGAAAAAGCAGACAGGGAAGAAGGGTGAACCGGAGAGAGAGAAGCCTGGTGTTGAGAGCATGAGGAAGAACAGACTTCTGGTCACCAAGTAAGGATGGTACATGGTTTTCGTCAATGAGGGCATGTCTGCGACCCTATTAGATCTTACCAGGAAAGAATCACTATGTTAAACGAAACTCTGCTGGAGGCCTTTACCGTATTATCCTCACATTCGGCAGACATTCAAACAGATCCTCCTTATAATATAAAATGGATTTATCCTAAAGCCTGTCATGGACACACATGAGCAGTAGTAACAGTTTGGGAGCGGTGTGGCCCCATAGTGAGCAGCGCTATTGTGCTGGTTAAGCTTTCCCTGATTGAGTGTGTAATCTGAAGGAAATTAGTTTTTAAGGCTGCTGTCTGTTTTTTACAGTCTGGACAAACTGCACACTGCTCTGTCAGAGCTCTGCTTCTCAATCAACTATGTCCCCAACATGATGGTCTGGGAGCACACCTTCACCCCACGCGAGTACCTGACCTCTCACCTGGAGATCCGCTTCACTAAGTAAGTAACACTACCATCCTGATAAAACTACCGGACTGGGTGAAATGACCAAAATATCTCGGTTTAAGTAACTTTATTAGGTAATTATGAATTTTTGGACGTTCTATGGAGAAGAAAAAAAAAGGTATTATACATTGTATAACCATGTGGAAATGCCTATTTTTGGATAATCTAGTTAATTAATTACCGTATTGGCCCGAATATAAGACGACCCTGATTGTAAGACGACCCCCCTTTTTCCAGATGTAGAAAGGCTTTTTAAAAACCAAATCTTGTTTTTTTCTCAGTAAAACACATTTTGTCTTCAATTATTTTCATATTGCATATTTTTCCTATTTTCATTTTTGTTTTGAAAGTATGGTAAAAACTGGTAAAATGTACCAACAATCACATTTAAAAAATATACACTTTTTGATATACCATAAAAAAAACAAAACATTAATTAGGACATTTAGGCTATCCATCTAATAGCCTACCAAAATCTTATTAACAGTAGAAGTTAAATCTTACTGTAGTCTTCAAATCTGGGTACTGTCTTGCGTTTTAAAATCACAAAGGGAGTTTGGTCCCATCAGGCTAACGTGACAGTCACGACTCATGCAGCTGTAAGGTTTTCTTTTTCCTTAGTTTTTACTCGCAATCTTTACAACACGCATTACATTACGTATTTCATGGCACACTAGTTTTATGCATATTTGGCGCTACCTATTGTTGTGGGTGTATTATTGACATGTCAAAGTCTAGACCCTGAATATAAGACGACCGCGTTTTTTCAGATGTATTCCAAGAAAAAAACATTGTCTTATATTCGGGTCAATATGGTAGTTCACAAATAAAAGGGACTTCCTATCTCTACTGATTGTCTAAGTGTGTGTGTATTAGTATTTTAAGTATTTTATAGTATTATATATTATATTTATTATATATTAAATTTAAAAAGTAGTGTTGTATCATATTATATGTGTGTATGTATGCATAAAATTTTATACATGTTCAAAAAAATTGTTGTAGTGATACTTTTTCCTGAATCCTGTGAGTACAAACATCCCAATAGCCTGAACTGAGTGAATTTGGCCGCTACCTGCGTAAATGCATCACTGCTTGTTTTATCTATTACGTTACCCACAGTCCTCCCTTCCTGATGAGGTCTATCCGCACTCGTTCCGCACTAGCATCAATCATATTGATTTGCCTCATAGGGGAGAGTTACTGTTGCGTTTTATGTCAAGGAAAATTGTCGTCCAGCTCTCCCTTATTAATTAAGCTGAGAACTCAACTGCTTAAAGAGCCTCTTGGGTTTATTGTTCGATTTGTGTAATTTATTGGACTAGCGGTGAGAGTTTGGGTTAGCATGATTTTTGACACAGTTCCAGAATAGTGCTTGTCCAACTAAATAAACATCAGGCCGAGGAATAACAGGTATTTTCCACTGTTGGATTCAAAACTCTGACGCGGATGCATTGGCTGGCCCCTCTCTCCCGGGCTGTGAACCCCTCATGTGGCCATGCTTCTCAGCAGTGAGAGGCCCTGTTAGCAGATCTCACCACCCAACCATGTGCTGTTATTACCCATTTCCATCTGACAGGTAAATAGCCTTGATTCAGGTCATTGTGGTTATGGATCTGTTTATAGTGGCCACCATTGCTCTCCGAACAACACCACATAAGTCCAAATTGACCATGTTTACTTTCTTAACATATAGTCCAGGTCTTACTGTGAATGATTCATTGAGGCATTTTATTCCAAATAAAAAAATAGTTTGTCTTCATAAGCCTTTATCAAAATGTCAAAACGTGCTCCAAATTTTAAATGGGGGGTGGCTGTCACATTTCTCAGTTTAATCTAGTTTGACTTGGTGCACTAATATATATATATATATATATATATACACACACATATACAGTGCCATGAAAAGGTTTTTGCCCCCTTCCTGTTTTTTACATTTTTTGCATATTTTTCACATTTAAAAGGTTCAAATCATCAAACAAATTTTACTATTACCCAGAGATAATGCAAGTAAATAGAAAATGCTATGCCACAGCATCTCAATCTGACTTAATTCCGGACTTTGACTTGGCCACTCCAAAACCTTAATTTTGTTTTTCTTGAGCCATTCAGAGGTGGACTTGCTGGTGTGTTTGGGATCGTTGTCCTGCTGCATAACCCAAGTGCGCTTGAGCTTGAGGTCACAAACTGATGGTCGGACATTCTCCTTCAGGATTTTCTGACAGAGTGTAGAATTCATGGTTCCATCAATTATGGCAAGTCGTCCAGGTCCTGAAGCTCAGACCATCACACTACCACCACCATGTTTGACTGTTGGTATAATGTTCTTTTTATGAAATGCTGTGTTGGTTTTACGCCAGATGTAACGGGACACACATCTTGCAAAAAGTTAAACTTTTGCCTCATCAGTCTCCAGAATATTTACCCAAAAGTCTTGGGAATAATCAGGATATTTTTTGGCAAATGTGAGACGATGTGAGACCTTTGTGTTCTTTTTGCTCAGCAATGGCTTTTGCCTTGGAACTCTCCCATGGATGCCGTTTTTGCCCAGTCTCTTTCTTATTGTTGAATCATGAACACTGACCTTAATTGAGGCAAGTGAGGCCTGCAGTTCTTTAGATGTTGTTCTGGGTTCTTTTATGACCTCCTGGATGAGTCGTCGTTGCGCTCTTGTAGTAATTTTGGTAGGCCGGCCACTCCTGGGAAGGTTCACCATTGTTCCAAGTTTTCTCCATTTGTGGATAATGGCTCTGATCGTGGTTTGCCGGAGTCCCAAAGCTTTAGAAATGGCTTCATAACCCTTTCCAAACTGATACATGTCAACTATTTTGTTTCTCATCTGTTCTTGAATTTCTTTAGATCGCGGCATGATGTGTTGCTCTTTAAGCATGCTTCACTTTGTCAGACAAGTTAAGTGATTTCTTGATTCAACAGGTCTGGAAGTAATCAGGCCTGGGTGTGGCTAATAAAAATTAACTCAGTTTTCTAACATAATGTGGTTAATCACAGTTCCCTTTCGAACGGTCTCTCCCGTTGTGTTAGACACTAAGGGGAAAACAGGAGTTTTCCCCTTAGCGTCTCACGCAACGCTCGTTCCCTTATCTCAGGGAACCGAGGTTACGTTAGTAACCGGAGCGTTATTTCATGATTTAACAGGAGGAGGCAAGTAATTTTTCACGTAGGGCCCAGCTAACAGGGAACGTTCCCAGAACATTCACTAACCTTCTTTAAAAGAGCTTTTTTTCCCTTAATAAATGAAATCATCATTTAAAAACTGTATTTGTATTTGCATATTTGTATTATGACAGATTACGGTTATGATATAGTATATACAGGTGCATCTCAATAAATTAGAATGTCATGGAAAAGTTCATTTCAGTAATTCAACTCAAATTGTGAAACTTGTGTATTAAATAAATGCAGTGCACACAGACTGAAGTAGTTTAAGTCCTTGGTTCTTTTAATTGTGATGATTTTGGCTCACATTTAACAAAAACCCACCAATTCACTGTCTCAACAAATTAGAATACTTCGAATTACTGAAATAAATGAACTTTTTCACGACATTCTAATTTATTGAGATGCACCTGTATATTAGTGGTGTCAAAATTAGCACGTTAATGCAGGCGATTAATTTTTTCAGTTTAACGCGTTAAAAATATTAATGCAGGGCTAGGGTTGACCACCCTACTCACAACTGCTGCTTCTGTCACTTTTTCTCTTGACAAGAAGTGCATTTATTTAGTCGCAGAACGAGATGTTTCAGATGTGTGTTCCACTTCACTTCAGCGCCAGGCGCGAGTCAAAACGAGCACGGAAACGGTACTGTGCTTGCTGCGTGTGCTCTTCAATTGCACACACAAAAGCGCCGGCGCACGCTGTAGCCTGTATCCTTTCATATCAACGCACGAAATAAACTACGTGCATGCAATGAAGTGGTCAGTTAAGTCATGAAGTTACCAAAAAGGCGATTAAAGCTGCCTTAAAACTGTGCATGCATGTAATATATTTTATATGAGTCACATTTAAGAACATGTCTCTGAAATGGTTTTCAAAACTGCCCCGGAGCATCCCAGCACTGTCTCACTCATCTAACACACCCGATTTAACTCGTCAGCTAATTGATAGAGACTTTAAGACCTGAAGTGGGTCAAAGAAATAGCAGCCAAAACAACCTTATAACCAGCTGCTGTGATATCTATTAATCAAAGGACAAAGGGAAAAAAAAGAGGAAAAAATAACTTTTATAGCTTTATGGATTCATTTATATTTAATTTAGAATTTAGTGTTTGATAACTTCAATTCAACCATTCACTCTTGTTCAATGCGAATGCTGTATGCTAGAATATGAGCAGTCATTTATTCCATCATCACCCGGGTGCTGATAGCGCTCGCACACAGGTGAGACCTGAACAGCACACGTTGATATCTGTTTAAACTAAACTCATTTACGCTTTTTCCAGTTTAAACATTTAAGAGCCAGAGGACGCGAGCTCGCGCGCGCAGTGAGAAGATTGCGTGCACTCATCCGAAGCGCACAAACCCGCGCCTCAGAACACGTGCAAATATTAAGCTCTCTCTGAAGTATTGCGTTTAAATGGACAAATTCACACAAAAATTGTCAAAATGCCCGTCTTGGTAAGTATCCTATAGCAGACATAGCCGGCTGAACGTACTGTATCAGTGCATTCTCTTAAAAGTGACAGCACTTTCTTAATATTAATCAAATAACAACAATAAAGAATTCACTCACTGCTCTTGATTAAATAGCTTTTGTAACATTAATAAAGATTATTTTTTAATTTATACAGTGAAATATGCAATTCCGTTTTACATTTCATTACTTTATTCAATTTCTGTACCTAAAAACTAATGTTAGACCTACCTAAAAAAAAAAAATGAAAATCACTGTTTATTTTATTTGTGTCTCTATTGTATTTATTTGTGCTGTTGCTTGTAGTTAGATAGATTAATCTTATTTTCTTTATTTTCATTTGACAGTATAGTTTTTCCCTAAACATAGCACATACCGAACCGTACCGAAACCGTGACTCTAAAACCGTGATACAAACCAAACCGTGAGTAAGTTTAACTGTTCCACCCCAATATATATATATATAAATAACAAAACAAAATTATAAATGCAACACTTTTGTTTTTGCCCCCATTTTTCATGAGCTGAACTCAAAGATCTAAGACTTTTTTTTTTTTTTGAGTATGCTGGCCATGCATAACTGGGATGTTTTCAGCTTCCAGGAATTATGTACAGATCCTTGCAACATGGGGCCGTGCATTATCATGCTGCAACATGAGGTGATGGTCGTGGATGAATGGCACAACAATGGGCCTCAGGATCTCATCACGGTATCTCTGTGCATTCAAAATGCCATCAATAAAATGCACCTGTGTTCGTTGTCCATAACATACGCCTGCCCATACCATAACCCCACCGCCACCATGGGCCACTCGATCCACAACGTTGACATCAGCAAACCGCTCACCCACACGACGCCATACACACTGTCTGCCATCTGCCCTGTACAGTGAAAACCGGGATTCATCCGTGAAGAGAACACCTCTCCAAAGTGCCAGACGCCATCGAATGTGAGCATTTGCCCACTCAAGTCGGTTACGACGA